AACCCAATTACCCATCCCCATTATTTTCTTAAGGTTTTACCCTAAGAACCAACTATCTTTTCATTCATTTATTCGTAAGGAATTTGGCACGAATTCCATTGCTGCCAAAGCTTATTTATCAAGTACTAAATCCATAGTTATCTGGCGCTAACTCCATAGTCACCAAAGTTCACTTAACAAGCGCTAACTCCATAGTCTCCAAGGCTTACTCAACAAGCGCTAACTCCATAGTCGCCAAAGTTTACTCACCCGTGCGCTAACTCCATAGTCGCCAAGGTTCATCAAATAGGCACGAAGTCACATCGTCGCCAAGGTTTATACAATAGGCTCTAACTCCATAGTCACCAACTATTCCATCTACCTATGTTCTACCCAACAATTTTGTAGATATAAATACTTACACAGTTTAAATCATATAACACCTGTATAAAACTCCAATTTCCATGCCCATCTCAAATAGACAAATAACATATAAACACATAGCACGTATTTCATAGCAAATACGTCATATTTATGTGTTAGAAGAAAGTAACTACACACTCACACATATAAACAACAATAAACTTAATACACTCAAACCATACTTGTATTATTATCGTGTTATGAAAGGTAGTATACACTCACTTGATCAGAAGATGATCGGACAGCACTACGACTTGCAGAAGTAGTATTCTTCAGTAGATCTGGAAGATCTCCACAAAAATCGAACTTCTCGCGGGCAGAGCTTCGGCTCGGGAACCGCACTTCTCGGGATCTTCGGGATCTCAGGACTTGCTTCGAGGCTCGAGAATAATACCGGGGCTTCGGGGTATTTCTGGCACACAAATCGATGTAAAACGGGAGAGAGAAGAGAGAAAATGAACAAAAGAACCGGCTGCCCTCGCATCCTATTTATAGGAGGCTGGAGCCTCGGAGTATGCGTCCGAATTCGTCACTGCATGCGTCATCCGAAGAACTCGAGTGCGAAGGTCGTCATGCTTCGCTGTACGCGGAGCGTACACTCGTACGCGGGGCGACTTCGGATGAGTCCGATGACTCGCCTTCGGATAATACCGGGATTTAATAATTAAATTTAATTATTAATTAATTAATAAACTTCGAAAATTCATATCTTCTTCATACGAACTCCGTTTTCGACGTTCTTTACATCCACGCGTAGGTGAGACTACACTCTTCGACTTTCGTTTAGGCTCCGTCGGCTAATTTTGACTTTTATTTTTATTATTTATTTTTAATAGGTCGGGACAGAAAATTTCGTTATAAATTCATAACTTCTTCGTCCGACGTCCGTTCTTGCCTAACTTTTCGTCGTTTCGCTACTAACAACGAGATCTTAGATTCTTGTTTAGATCGCTAAGGCTAAATATCACTTTAACGTAAATTCACTTTTTACGTCATTCAGTGTTGTGCCGGTTCTGTCGCGAAACTTTAACAAGTCATAACTTCTTCGTTATAACTCGGATTTTGGCGTTCTTTATATGCACGGAAACCTTGTAGCATATACTACAACTTAGTTAGGATTATTAATCCTAAATAATCTTCTATCAAAAAGTCATTTTTTTACGCTTATTGTCTCTAAATTGACTAGCCCTGATCTACGGGCGTTACACGTGCGTCTTTCAGACACAGGAGGAGGAAGAGCTTCTACAAGATCAATATATCGGTGATAAAGCTTACCCCGATAGTGACTGCGCAGGGCCATCTCCAAAGAAATCTCGGCTTCAGCACCTGCGCAAATAAATGTCAAATATAGGAACTCATAAACCAACAAGATACCATGTTCCTACCCCCTTTTTCCTTTTTGTTTTTTTTAAAAAAAAAAGGGGGGGGGGGGTGGAACAGGAGATGAGTGGATATTGTATCTCACAACATAAAATTGTGCCATATTCCTGCGAGCTCTCTAGGCGATCCTCATACCGGCCGCAGCAAGAACAGAATCTTCCCAGTTCTCGCCAACAACAGTAATGTTTCCTAGTCGTTTGCCGAGAGTTAGGTTGCTCTTAAATAGTTTGGTAAGGCGGTCAGGAAAGTCTAGTGTTTTGCGAAACCCACGCCCAACAAGGTTCCGTTAACCCAAAGCTATTTCCTTTGCCAATTTTTCTTCAGGGCATCTTGTTCAGAGATTAACTGATGAATGCCCCGCCTTTTCGCCAAAGTATGAACACCAGAATTTGTAGTTGAACAAAAAAAGTAACTGAAGACCCAGAAGGTGGGTATATAACCCAAAGCCCGAGAAATCAACTCAAAACCTACGATCTTATTAACAACGCTCAGGGTCAACTCGTCGACGGAAAAGCCATAGTGATCCACAATCATGTTGAAGAAATTGGATTTTGGCATGCATAACCCCGCTTCGAATAAAGGGAGTGAAACTCCTACTTTCTCTTGAGGGCAATCATAGATCGACACCTTTTTGCCGGAATCATTACACCATGCTCTGGTAAGAAGTCGAATAGATCCTGCAGAAGTCGAAATTCCTCTGCAGTAGGGACTCTACCATAACAGTCCATTATCGAAAAAAGATGAGAAATCGAAAAGGGTAATTAGCAGAATGTCCGGATAGATACAACAAAGGCAAAGTGGGGATGTGAGGATGGAAAGCATGGGGAAAAGGGGGGATTTTAAAGGTGAAACTGGCATCACGAATCGTCTCATAATGGAATCGACACACATTGATGGCACTGTATAAAGCCTGTCAAATGCTAGAGATAATCTCAGACATACACATGTTGAAATATAGGCTCGAACGGCGACGCTGTCAATACGATGCATACACCTACAAGCGTAAGGGACTTGTTAACGTATCCCTCAAGTAGAACGTCAAAAAAGAAGAAGTCAAACTAATGTCGGGCTTGGCCTAGTCAGAACCAAGTCTATAGCCAAGTCCGGGCTTTCGCCAACGCGAGGATCACTGGTATGGAGGTTAAGGTGCAGAGTCGCGCCTTAACCTCTTCCCCAGGAAGTTACATCCTGGCAAATGTGGGACCAAGCAGAGAGTCCCACTTACCCATTAGACAATAGCCACAATCTTTATAACAATTAAAAGATCCCCCTCTAGCCAATGAGGGAATGAGGCAAAACGACCCAAAATCAATGATTTAGCGAGTACAATAAAAATCACTTTTTTTATAATTTAATTACATTTGAATATTTGATAGAGAAATTAAATATTCTTCTATTTTTTGTTCTTAAAAATCTTTCTATCCAATTAAATGATGACATGTGATATTTAATGTTTATATAATGATTTTTAAATATACTAAAATGATATATATCATCATTTAATTGGATACGAAGACTTATAAGAATAAAAATGGAAGGATATTTAATTTCTGTGTTTGATAAATGAAATGAAGAAGTGTAGAAGAAAGCTGATATGATTTTGTCTAGTTTTTAGCAGTTTGGGCACGACAACATGGACCACACGTTTTAATCACCACTAAATTCCAACCTATGCAATCAATATAATTTGTACTGTTTCCAAAAGTTTGACAAATTGTCAAAAACACGTAGTGCCCATGTGCTATAAATAACTCGCTGTAAAACCAGAAGTTCCATGAAATCATATATATATATATATATATATATATATATATATATATATATATATATATATATATATATATATATATATATATATATATATATATATATATATAGGGTTAGGTTAATGTGAGACGGTCTAATTTTGTTAGACGGTGAGACGTATTTTTTATTTATTTATTTTTTTTTACTTAATTAAAGTTCCAAAATAATATTTAAAAAAAGAATTTTTTGATTTTTTCATTTATTTTGCATTTTAAAATTATTTTTAGAATATGTACAGTGTAATATTCTATTTAGAATATTTCACGTATTTTAAAAAAAAATAGGATTTTTTTTAGTTAATTCAATTTCCGAAAATAATATTTAAAAAAAGAACTTTTAGATTTTTCCATTTATTTTGCATTTTAAAATTATTTTTTACAATATGTCAATGTAATATTCTATTTACAATATTTCACGTATTTTAAAAAAAAAAAGATTTTTTTTATTTTATTTTTATTTTTTTTTAGTTAATTCAAGTTCCGAAAATAATATTTAAAAAAAAGAATTTTTGGATTTTTCCATTTATTTTGCATTTTAAAATTATTTTTAGATTTGGTCTCACGGTCTCACAAAATTAGAATGGTCTCAAATGAACCTGAACCTATATATATATATATATATATATATATATATATATATATATATATATATATATATATATATATATATATATATATATATACGGTTAGGTTAATGTGAAACGGTCTAATTTTGTAAAACCATGCGATGCAATCCTAGCCACTCATTTATTATATAAAACAAAAACATTTATAAAATGCAAAATAATTGAAAATTTTCGGATTTTTTTTTTCCAATATTATTTTTGGAATATATATTTTCCAAAAAAAATACCAAAAAAATATATAAATAAATAAAAATACATTTTTTTACATATTTTAGTAAAATATTTAGAATATTCTATATATCTGGCAAACCTAGTAGAATATTCTAAAAATCGTATTAGAATATCTACAGTGAAATATTCTATTAGAATATTTCTAGTATTTTTCAAAAAATAAAAACAGTAATTTTTTTATTTTATTTTTTTATTATATTTTTTTTTAGTTAAATAAAGTTCCGAAAATAATAATTAAAAAAAGAATTTTTGGATTTTTCCTTTTATTTTTCGTTTTAAAATTATTTTTAGATTTGGTCTCACAGTCTAATAAAATAAACATGGTCTCAAATGAACCTATATATATATATATATATATATATATATATATATATATATATATATATATATATATATATATATATAATATATATATATATATATATATATATGTTCAAATGTGGATACATATATATTGTGTGGATGTAGGGATTACTCTAGAACAAGTATTTTCATGAAGTAAATAAGATTTTACTCTCAATTATTCCCAATCAAATCCTTTATTTTTAGCCTAATTATAGATATATTTTTAATTTGTATTCATTATCCTTTAAGCCATATATAATCCCTCTGTAGTCGACTTCATGTGGATCATCTAAACTCATCATCGGCCGATTTTTTACTCTACAATTGTAATGGAGCAGCCGAAAAATAATCAAGATCAGGTACAAATGATTTAGAGTTTGTGTTTATCTAATTAACAAGTTTGGTATAATATGTGTTATTATCATTTTTTTTTCAGCAACAACCAAACAACGATCTCAATTTACAAATTGATCCTCCTCCGGTGAATGCAAGTATGATTCGAAAAAGAAGATGTTCGATCTGTAATAAGTTGGTGAATCATGACATGCGAAATTGCTCATTTAGTAGGAAATCAAATTACAAGTCTAGTTGCTTGGAGTTTATTTTTCAATAAAAATGAGTTTCGGTTATATGTATGGGTTGATTCTATCAAAGAAAATTTATGTGTTTTCATTATGTAATTCAAATAAATTCATACATCATTTGATGTATGGTTAGATTATATTATATTAATTGGTGTCTGTTAAATCTATATAATGAGAAATATCATTTTTGTTTTGGATGTTACACACGTGTTTTTGAATTATTCAACAATGCAATATTAAATGTGTAAATAATATTGTGAATGTGGTAATCCAATGTTAATCTGTATGAATTTATACTCTGATGTTACATTTTGTATATTGCTATTTTAGAATTGTTGTAATTTAAATCCTTTACAGAATTCATATAGGTAATTTAAGGATAACATAACCCATAAGTTTAATACTAACCTAAAATAAAAGTGACATCAATGACTGTGAGTTTATTTTTATGTATGAAGTATCTCATTTTTCATAATGTTTTCTGTAATAAACATTTATAATTTACTTATGAATTTGTTTCTTTGTAAGGCAGTTATTCGTATGCCAACCTTGGTTCTGACACACTCTACAACTATGGATTGTCAATTGGTGAAAGTAGTAAATCTAATGAAGGTGATTCTTTTAATTATTTAATGTCCCCAATACCAACACAATTTAACTCTATATATTGTAATTTCATTCCTTTTCTTAGCAGAATTTGAAGATGCAGAAATCGAAAATTACTCATCTAATGACGATGATATAGCGCAGAATATTGATCTAATGCGTGGTAACATATTTTTTAACCCAATAATTTTACTGTATTCATATTAATGATTAATTACTTTCAGAACAATCAGTTGCTGATCATGATTACGTTTCCCCTGGTGGGTCACTGTATTGGACTCCAAAAGTATCTGATCATATTAAGCCAAAGATTAAATCAGTATACGATTCATATGCTGATGCTGTTAGAATGTATAGAAACTATGCATTAGAAGTTGGATTTGATGTTAGACTTAGGACTCTTAGAACATCAATGTTCCGTGTTATTACGGAAAGACATTTATTGTGTAATCGTGAATGTAAGCCCAACACTGGTAAAGTGGATACTTTGGACATTCAACACAACAAGCCTAAAAGAAGAAAAGATTAATTCAGGGTGGATTGCAATGAAAATATTGTTTTAAAGATAATATCGGGCACTGTAAAGTATGTTGTTCATGATTTTACTAAGAAACATTCTCATGCTTTGTTTAGTAAGGAAACTATTCACCTATCACGTGCCAAGAGAAAACTTGATTACACACATGAAAGTTTTATTCACAACATGTCCAAACAAAACATTGCTGCGACAAAAGTATATATATTCTATACTAGCATACCTAGTTGTCATTCTGATCGAGGCTTGCTCTCTGACTTCAAAAATTGTACAAGAAATCTTAATTGTTTCATAGGTGGGCGAGATTCCAAATTTCTAGTTGACAAAATGAACGAAAGGAAAAAATATGTCCCGAACGTTACTGTTGAGTACAGAGTTGTCGACAAGAAGCTAAATTCACTTTTTTGGGGGACGAGACAGCTAAGTTTAACTAAAATGCTTTTGGAGATGTTGTACCCCTTGATGCCACGTTCAACACAAATAGGTATGTTTTTGTTATTTTTTACTTAATTTATCTTCAATACAACATGTAGTTAATTTTCCTTATTTAAAACTTATTTTCTATCACACGTATAATATGGTTTTCATTCCATTCACTGTTATAGACAACCATAAAAATGTGTAACATTTGGGGCTGGGTTGTTGAGCAAAGAAGATTATGAATCTTACTCTTGGCTGGTTAAGGCCTTCTTGAAGACATTTACAAAACCACCTACATTGATGTTATCATATCAGGATCCAGAATTGTCCAAAGCTATTAAAGAATTTATTCCAACAACACAGCACAGACTTTGCATGTGGTATATAATTAAAAAGTTACCAAAGAAAGTACAATTTAATTCCCATACTCGTATAATACATATTTAACCACACTAATTACATCAGAATCATATATGTTCTTGAAGATGTGACATTCCTTTATCACAATTAAATTAGAATACAACCTATAATATGCATATCATTACATTTTAACTAGATATCAATCAAAATTTCTACCAATCCAGAGTTTCGTAATCGTTTCCATGGATTAATATCAATCGAAATTTCTACCAATCCAGAGTTTCGTAATCGTTTCCATGGATTAATATGGAATTCTATAATTGAACCACAAGCATTTGAGGCTGGTTGGGAATGTTTGTTGCAGGATTTCAATATTACAAACAACAAGTGGTTGAATGCTATGTACGGGTTGCGTAGATTATGGTTCCCGGCATTTTACAAGGACATACCAATGTCTCGTCTTATGCGGACTACATCATTGTCTGAAAGCCAAAACAAGTCATTTCAAAACAACACCCTTTCTAGTTTGTATCTTGTCATTTTTATGATGTCATTTGAGACTAATTTGGAACGACAAAGACATAATCAGATTTTTAAAGATTTCAAGACTTCCAACACTTTTCCTAAAATAATCAAACATCTTCCTTACGAAGTTCATGCATCCAAAGTGGACACTCATACCATTTTTTACCAAGTTCAGGAAGAGATTTTAAAATCTGAGGATAGTTGTTTCCAAAAGTGTGTGTCATGTGAAGATGGTGTTGACACTTTTACTATACTGGAGAAACAAAACCATTGTCACTAGACAAACTCAAAAGGAAATAGGTGATGAAACAGTGTATGAATATCATTACGATAGAATTCTCAAAGACACTGAATTCAAGGTACATATACTTTTGTATTTCTTGATATTTCATTTAGTTGAATCTAAATTTAATTACATCATCTCAATTTTTAATATTCCAAATTTTCCAGGTTACACATTCAACATTAGAAGATACCTTCGTGTGCAGTTGCATGAATTTTGAACATGTTGGCCTTTTGTGTAGACACATTTTTTGTGTTTTTAAATATCACAGCCGTGTTGAAATTCCATCACGGTACATATTGAAACATTGGAGAAGGGATGCCATTCCTACAAAATTGCTTAAAAGATGCTTCTCAGACTCCGGATATGACTTACATACCGACAAGTATGCCATTGAAATTTTCTCAGTTGTCGATAATTGTGTCTCAACTTTAAGTCATGACCATAAAAGATTACAAACATATCTAGAGGATCAACATAAGTTGAAGAAAAAACATATAGATGATTGTCCATCAAATGCGCTTCCCAACAAAGACAATTACTATACGAACCTTCTAAAAGTCACTATTCCTGATGTGGTGGACATTGAAAATCCATCAGATATTCAGAACAAAGGTTCTGGCAGTAAAGGGAAAAGATTGAAATCTAAAAAAGAAATGCTTCAACTTCAAGGATTGAAACCCAAGAGATTGTGTGCATCATGTCAACAGATGGTTAATCATGACAAGGAAAATTGTCCTTTTAAAGATAAAGCTAACTAGTTTGAAATGACTTTATTTTATCCTTAATTTTTTGCATTTATTGCTTATGAACTATTGCTTACATTTTTCGTTTTCCTTTAACATAAAACTAAATTTTTTCATATTTCATTTGTTTTTCATTCTTTTCACATTTGTTTAAGAATTATGTATATTTGCCAATATAATTTATGGTTCCAAAATCAGATGTCTAATATAATCTACCAAATACTTATGCATATATTAAGTACAAAATCCAATTTAACTCTTCTTTGGACCAATCTAATAGAAATTAAAATACACTTGTCTCATATATTAAAACAAATATTAAATGTTTCAAATTTTTAACATTCTTTTAGATTTAACATACTAACCATTTTAAAATGACAAAAGATGATCCCAAACTGTCATACTTTGAATCCTATTTGAAGCAAAGCCAATTAAAAAATTAACATACCATCATTCTAACGGAATACACAAACTACATTTTACATTCTACGTATTTCACTATATTCTAACCATATTCCAATATAATATGGTTCAAATCACCACATCATTAATAACAACATCAAAATAATCGCAAACAACAATTGCCAAACATTATTCATTCAAATATAACATTCACACAAACATTATTCATTCAAATATAACATTCACACCATATGTACATTCCCGAAACACTATATACCAAAACAGTATCAAATATCCATTTTATATTTTGTCAAAACACTAGTAAAATGTTTATTCTACCAGAACTGCTTTATAAAAAACAAATGATCAGTACATTTCACACCACCAAAGCTGTTACATTGTAACCCACATATTAATATTAATAAGTACCATCCATATTCATCCATAAAACAAAATTTTTTATAATTCATACCAAATCGTTCAAAAAAAAAAAAGAGACGAAAAAAAAACCCAACTTCATAACACTTCGTTTAACTTCAAAATAACAAAACATAAAGAGTCTAATCAAACTGGACTACAACTTCAACGTCGACGCATTAGTCTTCTTTTCTTCCTTTCTTCTGCTAATTCTTGCAGAAGTAGCTGTCTTTCCAGCACATCAAGCTTAAGAAATTCAACACAATCCCCCTCTAGCATTTTTTATGCACATTGAATTTGGTTTTCATCATTCTAGCCAAATACATGCTCCTTAAATTCATAAGTGCAACATTGTCTGCATTCCCTTTTCCTGTAAAACCAGAATCCCATCGCCCTTCACCTTCTCCCATATAACTTTCCATGGGTCTTATAAGATATAATCCACAATTCGGTCCCAGTTTCGCTATGCACCAACGAATGTTCATCACATGTGGTTTTGCTCCAGTTAAAGCTTTTACTATTGAATGATTTTGTAATGATAAGTAGCTGCACAATAGTTTCACCTGTCATAATAAAATAAACAGTCAATATAAAATAATAACATACATATTTATTCAGTCAAATACTGATTCTCAATGAATATATTAATGTACAATTTACCAAAACCATAGGCGTTGTTCGATAAACACTATCAACACTTCCTTTTCGATTCACATGATCAATTATGAAGCACTTTCCTATCCTCAGATCAAAACACACCAAGCAATAAATATCCACATCCACTACGGGGGATAAATACATGTTACAAAACACAGATACGTAATATAAAATTCTAATGAATGTGTAATAAAAATTAAATTCCAAATGAACTAACCAGCCCAACATCTTTCAAACTTGGTAACACTCTAAACTTATTAGTGTAAACTCTCAGCAATCCATCAAACATTCTGCATGTTTCGACTCCTACACCCGATTTGTTCAACATTTCACTAGTCTGTAACAATAAGGAAAACACAATATTCAGTAATAAAATAAATTATTTACATTGAATTTTACAAAAATAAATTCTTCATTCCATACCTAGAAATTTTGTGTCCAAGAACAATCTAACTATCGATCCTTTGTCCCTGTACTCCTCCATCCTATTAAGGAATGCTTCCCAACAATCTATTATTCTAGAATGGATATATACATCCATCTTAAAATGGTACACAACTCCTTGGTGCAAAACATCACCAATTCCAATATCCCAGATCGTGTCCCTACATATTTAGATATATTAATTAAAATACTAAAATCAAATACTATATTACAATTACTGAGTTTATAATATTTATTATACTTACCCATTATCTCTTTTAGATGCAAAAATTGAACTGAACATATCAATATCCTTCTTCTTCAACATATCACCAATCCTAATACCCGTTCAGTAAAAGGTGAATGAAATAAATTTGTAGATTTCTTGTCCCTTTTTCCCCTTTTACCATTATCATCTTCATTGCCAACATTGTTCATCTCATCCTCTAGATTTATTCCTTCATTTGAATTAAATATAAACACAACAATTGGATTCTCTTCTTCTTCTTCACGTTTACTACTTGAAAACATAATCTCAGTTTTAGTTGCCATATCTATCATTTCATCCATCACACCCGGTAACTTATAAAACCGAGTCATTGTAAGATCATCATCTGTGATTTCATTTTCCATACGTGGTGCCACATAACTACATCCATCATCTACATCCTTGCTCTTACGTACCAAACCCCTAATAGGTGACAAATCCCCTTGATATTCAACAATTTCTTTTCCATGGTATGGAATATCATTTTCATTATCATTCTCCTTATCATAATCATTATCCTTATCATAATCATTCTCATTAAACAATTCATTTTTTTTAATTACCCACTCTTTCAAAACTTTATTCTCTGGAAATTTTCTCAAACCATCTTTTAATGCAATTCCATGTTACTCTTCTTTGCTAACAATTTACCATAATTGTGCTCCAACACAACAGCAAATGCCTGCAATATTAACAATATTATATCAAAAACTATAAACAACTAAATTAGGTATTGTAATCAAACCGACACGATTGCAGGGAAGGACAACAATGATGCTATTATAACTGATGCAGAGCAAGAGAAGCAAAATGATTATATGAGAACTGACACATTTCTTCAAGAATCACTAACATTCTAATTAAATACAACACTATGTATTTTAACTACTCATCCATATATAACAAATAAAAAGAAATCAAAACACATTTAAAGAAAAACTAATGTTGAAACCAAAACATTATTAACTCTACCTCAATGTCCCCATAAAGTTCGCATTCTTCTTCCTCTTCTTCACACCCCATTCTCTCATCATTTAAGCTACTATCTCTGAATTGCATCCCAAACCCTCCAAACTTAATTTCTAATTCTTGTATTTGTATAAGCTTATCACCCTTGACATGTGCAATAAATGGTATTCTTTTATCCAAATTTATATTTTCAAACCTCAGGTAATACACATATATCCAAATTTATATTTTCAAACCTCAATTTACTATAAACAATGCTATGATACCAATTTGTCACACCCCAAAACCGAGAACGGCGGAAATGTTCTGGGGCGGAGGACGTCATGTATAGTATCACAACACAGTAATAGTAAAAAAGTAAACAAACATCATCCATGGAATTAAATATATAATTTTAATACATGTGTGTTCTTGGTAATTTAACAGACACCAAAAATGAATGATAAAAGACGAGTCTAGTCTGTGCTCCGTCTTCTCAAAAACCTATCACCGGTACCTGTCTATTGACGACCTGAGAATACAAGTTATTTTGAAAGCGAGTATCAGCATTTAAGCTGATGAATTCATAAGTATTTTAATGTCTTTGATTTGTAAAACTGTAAGGAAAAGACTTGTAAATGTTTGATGAAACATTTCATATAAGTGTGAGAACCCTAGGAAATCCTATATTTCCTACTAATATAAAATGTAGTCTTCTACCAAGACCCGACTGTTTTGAAAGTATGTATCATTGTAAAAATGACGGTTTTTTCCCATTTAACTATTATTATCAAAATATATTCTACTTCATCGTTTATGTGAATGTGTCACAAAATAAAAGTAAAAGGGAACATTATATAATCATTTAAGTATTATCCTTTGGTACTAGGATAAACACGGTAGAGTAACTTGCCGAATAGTATTAACCGTAGACATCCGTCGATGTGCATTTTCCCCATGTAGCTAATAGTTGGGTGTAGAATGTTTAGTACCGAACGTATATAGCAGTATCTAATCATATAATATGTAATAGTATCTCATCATATAGTATGTAATCGTATCTCTTCCTACAGTATGTAATAGTATCTCTTCATATAGTATGTAATACAATTGTATCGACTCATGAATGAACTGACTCATGTATGTTCCATTTGTACTAGGAATAGTAAGTAGTATTTCCCAAACTATACCTATTATAGTTTACTAGTAATGTAGTTTGAAGTGTCCATGTACGTTTATACACCTTTGCTAAGCAAGGTGTTGGAGCTGAAGTCACAACCATCTTATCATATATATATATATATATATATATATATATATATATATATATATATATATATATATATATATATACTTACTACGTAAATGTATTGATATGGTATTTAAAAATATATAAGTGGAAAAGAGGTTTTTGTAATACATTTAAAAATTTTGAAATAATAAATAATCATGACTTGATGTCACTTTATAAAACGATTTAAAAGTAGTTTGTTTGATAAAACGGTTTGAAAGTATAGTAAATCTATCTCTTTGATAGTTATTAATCACATGTGATTGATATAATAACCATGATATTCAACTTATATTCCCTCCCCCCATAAAAGTATTTAAAAGCATGCAAAAGCATTTAAAAGCTTGTTTAAGGGTTATGAACTCCCTTGAAATGAGTGATGCGATAGTAGGATCGATAAAGGATGCTAAGTGTCAAGTGAGGACTTGAACACACACAATGATCGTTGTTATCATGTAATAAAACATATATGTATCTAATTAGTCATTTAACAACTAATTAATCAAGTTAAAACACCCTAGGACATGGAAACGCTTTGATTCAAGTGTTATAGGTACCAACGGGTTGCATCTAAAGGTTAGTATGCCATGTCATTGGAGTTTACGGCCTAAGGACCATATCCTTATGTGTTTACGGCTGTAAACTCTTATGGGAACATGTTTTGATTGTTGTTTAAGGTCTTAAACACTTCTAGGAAGGATCAAGCCTACCATCCAAGGCTGAGGAAGGGACTAGGGTCCATTTAACCTCATTTAGAGGAGTTTACGGCCCAAGTACATCCCTTGGCCATAAAATCCATTGATCATGTGATTATTGATGTTTTCCAAGTGTAAACATGTTCATATTAAGCACACAATAAGCTAGGGTAAGTGTACTTACAAGATAGAAGCTTGATTGGGTGTTTAAGGTCCAAGAACACTAGTGTGTGTTCTTAGTGTTTTGAAGAACACTTGAAGATATAAGTAAAAACTAATAATGAATGGATAAAATGATGTATAACAACTAGATGTTAGGTTATAACAACAAATCAAATCAAGAAATGCTTATGTTTTCGAAAAATCGTGTGAAGAACGGGATGCTACTTGAGAGAGAATGGGGAGTGTTCTTGAGGGTGGAAGTGAGAAATGAAGGAAATTGGGGAGTAAACTCATGCCTAAGGCATGAGTTCACAGCCATATGAGAGTTCACGGCCCAAATTCCCCCTTGTTTGGCCGTGAACACCAATCCAAGGTGTTGGTTGTTCCTTTGTTATCTCGATATTCTAGAAATCATTTCCTTTTATCCGTTCGTTTCATGAATAATAAATCAAAATACTCAAACGGACTTTAAACCGACTAAAATTTAGCAGGAAAGTATTTAACTTTTAATTGAAGTATTGGACTGTAGAGTTTGTACGAATGAAAATTTCGGATTATCACATCATCCCCTCATTAGAGGGAATTTCGTATCGAAATTAGAGTTTAAGCAAATAAAGTAGTTACAAATAACTAAGCAAAAAGATGAGGATATTTCGATTTCATTTAATCCTCGCGCTCCCATGTGAATTCTGGTCCTCGCTTGGTGTTCCAACAAACCTTCACAATCGGGATACAACTTTGTTTCGTTCGCTTGACCTCTCGGTCCATGATCTCTACAGGTTCTTCCACGAAGATGAGGCTCTCGTTGATCTCGATCTCGTTGAGTGGGATTACAAGAATCTCATTGGACATACACTTTTTCAAGTTTGAGACGTGGAAAGTAGAATGTACGTTACTGAGTTCACGCGGTAGATTGAGTTTGTAAGCTACAGGGCCGATTCTAGCAAGAATCTCGAAAGGCCCTATGTATCTTGGATTTAGATTTCCACGCTTATCGAAGCGTATCAAGCCCTTCCACGGTGATACTTTCAAAAGGACTCGGTCTCCCACCTAGAATTCCAAAGGTTTCCTTCATTTGTCCGCGTAGCTTTTCTGATGGTCTCTAGAGGCCTTCAGTCGTTCATGAATCTAAACGATCTTCTCTGTCATTTCCTGTATGATTTCCAAACCTGTGAGAGTGCTGTCAGGAACTTGCCCTCCAGCTAACTGGGTGTCACCCACTTCAGCCCAACACAGAGGGGATCTGCGCTTTCGGCCATAGATGGCTTCAAATGGAGCAGCCTTTATGCTCGTGTGGTAACTATTGTTATAGGAAAATTTGACAAGGGGTAAATGAGTATCCCATGCCTTCCCAAATTCGATCACATAGGCTCTCATCATATCTTTGAAGGTTTGGATAGTCCTCTCACTCTGTCCATCGGTTTGTGGATGATAGGTTGTACTCATGTCCAGCCTCGTTCCTAGGGAACTTTGTAGCGACTGCCAGAATCTCGAGGTGAATCTGCTATCTCTATCGGAGATAATGGATATGGGAACACCATGCATTCGTACAATCTCCCTAATGTATGCTCTTTTTAGTTTCTCCATTTATCAGTCTCTTTGATTGGTAGGAAATGCGCGGATTTGGACAATCTGTCGACGATGACCCAAATGGTGTCAATTCCACCTATTGTCTTGGGCAACTTGGTTATAAAGTCCATAGTAATCCACTCCAATTTCCATTCAAGTATCTTCAGTTGTTGAATTAAACCTGACGTTTTCTGGTATTCGACCTTAACCTTTGTGCAAGTAAGGCATTTGCTCATGAAGGTAGCAATTTCTGCTTTCATGTTAGGCCACCAGTATAACCTTTTAAGATCTAGATACATCTTATCTGAACCCAGGTGAATGGAATACTGATTGTTTTGCGCCTCGGTCATGACCACGTCTCTGAAGGCACCATGTTTTAGTGTCTAGATTCGATCCATGAAATATAACGCTCCGTCGCCCTTGCTTTCTAGGTTCTTATCCATTCCTCTCAGGGATTCGCTTGCCGCATTTTCAAGTTTCATAGCGTCGAGCTGAGCTTCTTTAATTTGTGTGGACAGGTGTGAATGGATAGTCATAGTCAAGGATTTGACTCTACGACCAGAGTATTCCTTCCGACTTAGGGTGTCAGCTACTATGTTGGCTTTGCTGGGATGATAACGAATTTCGCATTCGTAGTCATTGAGTATTTCGACCCACCGTATTTGTCTCATGTTGAGCTCCTTCTGGTCGAAGATGTGTTGGAGGCTTTTGTGGTCTGTGAAGATAGTACTTTTCATACTGTACAGATAATGTCTCCAGATCTTCAGAGCAAACACAACTGCTCCTAACTCAAGATTGTGTGTGGTGGAATTGACCTCATGCGTCTTCCACTGTCTTGAGGCATAGGCAATGACCTTTCCTCGTTGCATCAGAACACATCCGAGCCCTTGGTTGGATGTATCACAATAGACCACGAAGTCTTCTATTCCTTCTGGGAGAGATAGTATTGGTGCGGTGCATAAGGCTCGTTTCAGTGTTTGGAACGCCTTCTCTTGTTTCTCTTCCTAGTCAAAGGCCATGCCTTTCTCGGTCAGTGTGGTAAGTGGTTTCGCAATACTAGAGAAGTTATGTATGAACCTGCGGTAGTAGCCAGCGAGACCTAGAAATTGTCAAATTTATGTAGGTGTCTTCGGTGCTGACCAGTTCTCAATAGCTTTAATTTGGAAAGGTACACGTGTATTCCCTTTTTGCTAACGACGTGGCCCAAGAATTCGACTCTTCGAATCCAAAACTCACACTTGAAGAACTTTGTGTAGAGCTTCTCCGATCGTAATGTTTCTAAAACTTTTCGTAGGTGTTGACTATGCTCCTCCTTACTTCGGGAGTAAATAAGTACGTCATCGATAAAGATGATAACGAACTGATCCAAGTAAGGATGACACACCCTATTCATC